GAGTTAACCAAGGTTTAATGAGTATATTTCTTCTTGATACTTTTGTAATTATAGTATTTTCAATTACAGCGCGATGTAGACTACGTACAAAGTATGACATGGCAAAATTAATATCGCATGAATTATAATATAAATGCTGGGAAAGCTGTGAGTTAAATAATGAAAATTTTTAGCTTAATATAATAATGTACTTATATTGTATTGTAGAGGAGTTGTTTGATTATCCTTTCAGTAAGAAACGTTCTAGTGAATAAAGGGGTTTTTTAATTCTCTTGTAAGATATACTAACTGTGAACAGACCCCTAAATCATAAGCCCCCTATTATCTGACATTAAAAACAAGATGTCCGCTGTCTGTATACCACTAAACATCACATAACAAAAGCGCGCTTTACTATTCAAAATTCGAACGACAAAGGGCGGCAAATAAGCGTGTAATGACTGCTATTCATTACTACCAACTTATAAAAATTGAAACCATAGATTTTAGTACTGTAGAATTACGGTTCAATTTCTTTTGTCAGTTCATGTTAATGGTAACACACGGCTTTTTTTTTTAAAGATATTTTTTTAGTGCGAAGAAAGGAATGAAATGAGCAAACCGTATGTCGGTTCCGTTTTAGATAAATTTTATGTTCATTGTAGTCGAAGGGATGGATTTGTATTGTCGGTAATTGTTTGATGATAGGTTTATGATAGGGAACTTGGTGAGATTTGGAACATCTATATTACAGTTCATTGATACAATTAACTGAATACTGGTATGAACATTCTACTAAATACTTACTTTTTTTTAATGGATGATAATGAAATGTTGACACCGCCTGCGCTAACGGTATACACTGCCGGGGCACCAGTGACGGATGATAGATGAGAATGAAAAAAGCCAGATCAGTTAGCCCATCGTGATGAATACACTTGAATTCAGCACGATGGTTTCCAGGGGGGACCACGGGGAGGTTGACCTGGTTGGGTATCCCTTATCCCCCCCGTATAAAAGTCGTTTACTTGGGCACCTCTGTCTGATTTATGTCTCTACCGTGAAGCAGTTGTGTTTGCATGGCTGTCTTTCGGTTTGAAGGAAGGGATGTGGCTGTGGGTTTAATTTACAGGGTACAGAGGAATAACACCCGAGTCCTCAAGAATGGCAAAGAATGGGGGGTACCATGGGCGAAACAGTATACTCTATTATGCCCATGGTACTGCTCATGTCTATAGGCGACGGTACCCACTTTCCATCAGGTGGGCCGTTAGCTTGTTTACCATTCTAAGTTGCATAAAAAATTCTAGCCCTTGGACTATAACTAGTTCGAATTCCTTATTAAACAATGCATCGTTTAATATTTGTACATGTGGCCATTTGAGTCGTTCATTAAAGATTCAACGTCTTAATCAGGCGTGTTTGACGTCGTGAACTGTGGACAGAGTAGGGTCTTTGGTGTTGAATTCGTTGCGACTCGATGATTCACTTACCTAACTCGTATAATAAGGGGGAAAGGGATTGTTAACAATGGAGTTTGACAGCCCCATTGCTAGCAATATGCCCTATTAGGTTGACCTCCACGTGGTTCCCCCTGGAAACCATCGTGAACAGTTCTTGTTAAATTCGTCACGATGGGCTAACTGACCTGCTTCATTCCTTCACTGGTGCCTCGACAGCGTATCCCGTTAACGCAGGTGGGATTACCATTCCATTTTCACCCATCAAAAAAAAAACTCGTATAATAAGGGGAAGAAGGGATTGGTAGGAATGGGAATTAACAATCCCATTGCTAGCAATAAAACCTATCAGGTTGACTTCCATGTGGTTTCTGGAAAATATTGTGACTGATTTATTGTCGAATTAGTTATGATAGACCAATTGATCTGCTTTATCCTCACCTATCATCCCTCACTGGTGCCCCGTTAGTGTATACCGATAGCGCAGACAGTGTTACCATTCCATTATCATACATTAAAAAGAAACTTTTTTTTACAACACAGGGGACAACTGAGCATGCGGCTCACCTGATGGTAAGTGACAGTTACTGATGGGGTTTAACAATCCTGTCGCTAGTAATACACCTTGACAGGTCGACCTCCACGTATTTCCCACTGGAAACCATCGTGGGTAATTCTTATGGAAGTCGTAACGATAGGCTAATCGACCTGTTTTCATCCTCACCTATCGTCCCTAACTAGTGCCCCGCCAGCGTATACCAATGGCGCAGGGTTGCCATTCCATTCACTGAGTACAGAGGAATAACACCTGAGTCCTCAGGAATGGCAACGCATGGGGGGTATCATGGGCGAAACAGTATACACTGTTATGTCCACGGTACTGCTCATGTCTATAGGCGACGGTTACCACTTTCCATCAGGTGGGCCGTCAGCTTGTTTGCCATTCTAAGTTGTATAAAAAAAAAGTCATCTATTAAAAAAAACTTGTATAACATTGGCGGGAAATGGAGTTGCTAGTTGGTTGGTAGTAATTATTGAAATAATGTAATAATTATTGTTAGTATTAATTATACTCCGTGTAGTCCATGTTGTCCTGGTATAGAATGAGCCAATCCTTCCTTTCTGCTGGGTGTCGTAAGAGGTGACTAAGAGAATTTAATCATGGAGAGATGGACAGCAGCGTCTCTCTTAAAAAATCACCAAACTGTAAGTGTACTAACCCACTTGCTAAGCGTGGCAACTACTGGAAAACCCCCCATTAGAGGCGGTCTATGTTCAGCAGTTAACGATAAAATGAGACACATACTCTCTCTTTTTATTTAATACGTTACTTTTGTCGGTGCAACTAATTCATTCATCTTCCTCCAGCCAGCTCTATCCCAGGCCATATCTTTGATCTCCCTATACGACACGACACCTAGTGTTTCCTTTCTGTCCCATGTAGTTATTCCTCAGTCTTCCCCTTCCTCTTTTGTCCTCTATCTTTCCTTCTACTAGGCTCTTTAAAGAATCGTCAAGTCATATAAGGTGACTCAGCATCTTGTCTCTACTATTCTCTATTGTTATTGAGTTAATATAGATTGCAAAATAAAGAAAGGACATGTTTCAATTCCAAAACAAACAAAAAAATATAAAAAATCTACACGACAAACTAAAATTTTACCGCGCATTCTTAAAATAACGTTTGTTGAAAGAATAACTATGTTTGCGACCTACTTACAGTGCGTTTAATTCTCAATTTATTACATTGTTTGTCAATTTGCCACTTGGTAGTTGCGACAGTGATTGTATTTTTAAAAATATTTAATCTTTAATGTAATAACAACTGGATTACAGGGAGAGAAATTAAGATTACCAGAGGGAGTCTTTGTACAAAAGTCGTTTGCTTGGCCACCTCTGTTCCATTCGTTTTTCTACCGTGACGCAGTTGTGTTTGCATGGCTGTGTTTCGGTTTGAAGGGTGGGATATGGCAGTGAATTTACAAGGTACAGAGGAATAACACCTGAGTCCTCAAGAATAGCAACGCATGGGAGGTATCATAGGCGAAACAGTATACTCTGTTATGTCCTTGATACTGCTCATGTCTATAGGCGACGGTTACCACTTTATATCAGGTGGACCGTCAGCTTGTTTGCCATTCTAAGTTGCATAAAAAAAATGTTTTTAATATAATAACATTTATTTATTTAGACAACGTAAGGCCCATTTTGTTAGTTGTCAATTCAGCAACATTCACGTTTTCGTCAAATTTTGTCTATTGAGCTATGAAGATATGTACGTAGAGACGAGTTAAGACTCATTCTAAACTACTTTTATTTTTAAAACAATTTCAAACTATATCTAAATAAGTTTAATTTAATTAATTACTCTTCTCAATCCAAAGGTCGTCTGGTAGAGATCGCTCTTAGCGATAAGGTCGCCAATTGTTTTCTCAGTGTAATATTTTCTTGTAATTGTTTGTATTTATAATAAGTTTACTACTGTAATCTTTTAGAGGAAGCAACAAAGAGTAACTATCTATTTATTTAACCTATGCTTTGGTGGGAATGTTAAAAAAAAAACAAATGTGTAACGTTGTTTTCTCTGCCAGACTGTTTTGAATATAGAATGCCAAATATGTAGCAGGCAACTAAAGTCTTTTCAGTTTGTTATTGTTTTAATTTTGTCTATGGATTGTTCACATGTGTGTCGCGTATATGACATGTGTGTCAACGGAATAGGGTTAAATCTTTTCAGTTTTTATAAACTGTTTTTTTTTTTTAATATAAATATGTAAACTAATGACATATGCCACTTGTAGATGGCGTATAAAGATACACCATTTTTAAATTAGACCTGAAATATAACTGTGAAGATCGATTTCAATTTGGTGTTTTTGAGTTATGCTGGATGAAACATACAGACAGGCAGAACGACGGATAAAATTTCCAATAATTGAATTTGTGTACCAAAAAGAAAACAACTTTAATTGTGGTAAAACCGGTTATTTTGATTTAAAAACTAAACTGAACATAGGTTTCCCTCATAAGGGGGGTTTAGCTTGTTGTTGCCACGCTTAGCAGGCGGTTTGGCAAGCGCAGTTAGACTTGGTGATGTTTTGAGAAGAACGCTGCTGCCCATCCCTCGACCATTAGTTTCCCTTAGTCGCCTCTTACGATACCCTTGAGAATGGAAGGAGTGGACCATTCTATGCCGGGACCAGACGGCAAAGTTGTGGAATAAAATACCAATAATAATGTCCTATTTTATTCGCATTCATTACATCAGTTTATTATTATTTCGCGTGATTTAATAAAGTCAGCTGTTTGTCTGCCCTCGTCGTGGGTGTTACGGGACGCAACGAAAATATCACACAGTTTCCCTAAAACGTTAACCGGCGATTCGGAATCCGCCTACATAACAATTCCAATTGTTTCACAAGCTGAAAAATGGCGTGCGAACGCACTAACCAATGGGAGGCGTTACCATAGAATTACCGACTACAACCTGATTGGTCGATAACATCTCTTGAATTCGTCTCGGCCAATCACAACATAGAACGGATGTTCGAGTCAAACCAGTTCCATTTTCGCTTTCGTGAACCGTGCACGCGTTTCAAATTTGGAATTTGACGGGATTTGAAAAAAATATCACATTGCGAAGTTACGGCAATAAGCGGCCAGTGTTTTTTTTGTTTAAAAAGTGCGATATACTTACTTTTTTTGTCTATGGTGGCAATTTTGGTGATATAAAACAAATTAGGTTGTGTTTCGTCACTGCTTGGGTATTATTTTTAGAATTGTTAAAGTCAGTTGGTGGGACTGGTCTTAATTTAGCGGTGCACATGAGTGTGAGTATGCCACAGACTGGCTTCCTTGTTTTTTTTTTCTCGAATAATGCCCAACGGCGGATTGTTCCAAAGGACACGTTGTTAAAAGTGTGTCAGTTAAAAAAAAGGTTGATGGGATTATAGGAAACGAAACTGAAACAAAAAAATAACTGACATTCTAAATTAGAAATAAAATTAAAAATAAACGGAACGAGATTAAAAAAAAAACAATACTGGGGTTTCGGTTATTTATCTGAATCATTTCCGTCGGTGTCTAACTGTAAGTTAGTTGTAAGATTTTATGGTAAGAGAACTACTTGCACCCATATTGCGACTTATGGGGGAGGCCTATATACAACGGCGGATGACGGATACATTGAAATGATGGAACAAATAGAAAGCTTAATATATTGTACTGTAAAATCTTTATTGTACTTAATTTATATACATACATTAAAAGATTTAATATACAATGGATAATAATGGATAATGGACATAAAGGGATCTTTTACAGTCAACCTTTGAAAAGCTGAAAGAAAACAAAAAAATGGCTAAAAATCGTACAGCTAAAGACAAAATGTAATGGTAATCGCTTACCATTAGGTCTACCATATACCTGACAACACATATATAATATTATGTTTATTTTGTAAATAAAACAATAGGAGTGGAGTATCTACTTTGAATTCACTATTTACTTATAAAGTCAATTTTGATGTAATAAGAATAATAAACACGGTTTATTGACCAATTATTAATTCACTCTTACGCCATCAAACTATTTCTAAGGGTGGGTAAAATATATTGCTATTATATTTAATAATATTGATAAAATATATAGCTATTGAATTTATATAATATATAGATTGTATACCTATATATTATAATTACAATACATATATTGACCCAATAACAGATATATTAGATGTCATTTATCCAATATATAACAAAGAAAACAAGAATCCGCTCGTAATGAATATAGATATCCGACTGATATAGGCGATATTGCAATGAGTGTACATTAATATCCAGAAGAATTCGATATATAGATATCGGATATTATCCATCTGTACTTCTATCTGTTCTTCTTTAACCAAAAATGTAAGAGATTGTCCTAGCGATAAGACCGCCTTTTGTAGCTTTGTGCATATATATTTTGATCTGTACTGTACGTTACTCTATTTCATTTGAATTTTCTAATTGTCCATTAAATAAATATATATATATATATAAAATTTCCTTAAGATCACTGCCAGCTGGTAGGGTACCTAGGAGACTTGCTGCATTTCCACGCTGAATAGCTATGGAGATGCGTTGACCAAAGTAAATGTATGTTTTTGATGCAATAAAGAGTTAAATAAATGAATAATTAAAATAAATAACTTAAGGAAGTCAAATTAGAAGGTTGATGCGACGGAACTGTCATTGTCAATTCACGTTTACAAGATTTTTTTTTTAAATATAGAACCTTTATACAAAAAAAGAAATAAATTACTAAACTAAACATTAGAGTTAAAATATATAAAAAAAAAAAAAACTCGATTTGGCATATTCTCTTTTCAACCGGTTTCAAAAAGAAGGTCGTTCTCAGTTGATTTGAAGATGATTTGAATTTAAAGAACCCCATACTGTAGTCTCTATAGGAGACCTCGGCAGGAAGCTCATCCCACAGCCTGAGTTATCGCGGGAGGAATTTGAAACCGCACTGCAGTGTCCCACTTCTTTCCACAACTGCAGTGTCCCCTTCCCTTTCCTTTCCCACTTAAGTCCTTTATTCCTCTTATCTACCATGTTCCTTTACGCACTTCCAACATTCCCTTCCTTTTCCTCAATCCTTTCTTCTTCACCGTAGTTGGCGGAAACCACTAATAAATGCTTTCCCAAGGAGGGTTGACGTCAGGCAGGCGGCCGGTCGTAAAACTATAAGCCAAATCTTTTTTTCGTAATATGGATAAGAATAAAAGAGATTGCGATAGGGCGCCGACCCCAAATGATAGTTGGGATAAGGGTAGGAAGATGATGACTGTAGGTGACCATTTAGGTCCAAGCGTGTGAGGATGAATTTCCTCGATGGTTAGCGGCAGTGGCGTAACAATAGAGTGGCAAGGCTGGCAAAATGCCACGGGCCCCCGACCCAAAAGGGCCCCGGCTCAAGAGGTCGCTAGCTCAGATTTTTTTTACATTGTACCTGATTATTGTATTTTATTTTTACTGTAAGGCCCTATCAGTGTAGGAATTTGTCATAGGCCCCAAATGGTATAGTTACGCCACTGGCTAGCGGCGCAGTGTGGTGGCTGTGGGCACCATTTCAAACAACTCTTCTGAACACAATCGATTAATCAATCGATTTTTAGGTTGATAGGTTTTTCTTTACTCCATATTATTATCATTATCATATCAGTCATTGTCTGTCTAGTGCTGAATGTATGCATTCCCCACAGACATCTACCAGAGGGAGACTTTGTACAAAAGTCGTTTGCTTGGCCACCTCTGTCCTATTCGTGTTTCTACCGTGAAACAGTTGTGTTTGCATGGCTGTGTTTCGGTTTGAGGGGTGGGATATTGCAGTGAATTTACAGGGTACACAGGAATAACACCTGAGTCGTCAGGAATGGCAACGCTTAGGGGGTATCATGGGCGAAACAGTATACTCTGTTATGTCCATGGTACTGCTCATGTCTATAGGCGACGGTTACCACTTTCTATCAGGTGGGTCGTCAGCTTGTTTGCCATTCTAAATTGTATAAAAACATTTACTGCTATAAAGAACGGTCCTGAGTCTTCTGCGTATTACTTCAAAATATAGTACGTAGGTAAACAGCAAATTTTATAACAATGGCTTGCGCCGTCAGGGCGCCAAGACGTCACAAATAAACTCACTACACATTGTATTATATTAGAAATTACATGCTTTAGAATTTGTGTAACTACAAATTACCAACACACCGGGAATAACAATGTAACTGCTAGGGTTAGCAATTCTTTCCGAAAAAGATCGATTTTCGAATCAATTCGAATCGTAATCTGACAAATCAATTCATAAAAAAGTCTGGCTCTAAAAGATCGATTACTCAAAATTTTTTCAAGATTGTAATTTTAATATTAATTTAAATTCAATCATGAAAAACGAAACGGGCACCGTAATAATTTATGTTTTACGCTTTTTAATTATCTTTTACATCATTTATTATGTTATATTTAATTTAGAAATTTATCAATTGTTGTAAATTTATTATACATGTGTTTAGATATGATTTTATAGTTCTCATCAATACAAAAAAAAAATAGTATCTCGATTTTTCTACGATGATATCGATTCGTTGTATCGAATCTACGATTTTTATGTCGATTAAATATCTATTTCTTTAGTCGAATTAACGATTCTTCGGCTAATCGATCTCAGATCGCCATGCCTAGTAACTGCTTTTAGCATTGTATGCAAAATTATTCTGGTCCAACAAATATTATTGAAATGGAAAAGTAAACATATCCGACGTTTGCGCATACGCAGGTATTATTTTCATAACTTCCGCTGTTTCGAATATATCTTAGATTTGCCTATTGGAAACTTTGTACAAAAGTCGTCAATAGGTACCCCACTTGTGTTTCTATTATGAAATAATGAGTAATTCCAAATTGCCTAATTTTTGATCGAGTCGTTAAGCTGCCAAGAAGTAATAAACAATTAAAACTCACTTTCACATTTATAACATTAATAAGGATTATATTTTAATAAAAACTTTCATTTCCAAATATTTTTTGTCTACCTTTCGTAGGGAATCAGGATTTAAAAGCATAAGTGAGTGTAATAAAGTGAATAAATGTAGTAAAACAGAACGAATTAATCTCAAAATAAGATCTTGACCCACGTCAGACTTAGCAGCTTTTAATGTGAGGCCAGATGCATATACTGCCATTGAAAGAGTAAAACTGTACATTGTTTTATATGGCTGTGTGGTCCCGGCGTAGAATAGGCTACTCCTTCTTTTCTCGAGGGTGTCGTAAGATTCGACTAACGGAAGGCGAAGGATGGGTAGCAGCGTCCCGCTTGACAAGCGTGGCAACTACTGGAAAAACCCCCCAAGAGTGAGGCTTGTGTTCAATAGTGGACAGTTAAATACTGATATGATGATGATATGATGATGCATTCTACCCTCCTCCTAGCTTAGCACAGGTAGATAGATAAATTAGTATTTTATATTAGTTTTAATTAAAACGTAATTTTTTGTAGATCATTATAATTTTCGTAGGGATCAAAATTTTTTTGAAAATAATATTAAGCTTCTGTTATTAGTGGATAATCTAGAGTAATAGATTTTGAAAAATCTATTTTTTTAAATCAATTGAGTACTTTTTGAGTTTATCCATGACATACAAATATAAAAAAAAAATCGAATGTAGGAAACATTTTACAATATTAGTATAGATATTAAATACACCATCGCGGTCATCAACATTATATTATCTCAGATATTTTCATCAGACACTATTTTTACGACTCGTACTAGATCATTTCAGCTGTTAATTGTTGATTATGATGAATGAGTAGCAGAATGATATTAAAAAGACGTCAATCACATCGTATGGTAGTATTTTTTTTACGAAACTTAGAATAACAAAAAAACTAACGGCCTACCTGATGGAAAGTAGCAACCGTTGCTTATAGACAAGATGACGATAATGGTGGTTTGAGTTGATTTTTTGGTAGCAATTCAGTATGGTTATGTTGGTAGTCAATCTGCTTACATAGGATAAAATTGACATGTCAAAAGATAAGATACTTAGATAAAGAAAAAAAAGTCAAATAAACTAACTGGCCATCAAGAATCCACATTAAATGTCAAATAAAATGCTAGTGTTGTGCCGAAGCGAAATTTTATCGACCGATTAATTACAATTCCCAATAAAATTACTAAAAGAACATGTGTTCGAAATGTAACCATGTTTATTATGTTCCACGACCGTAACTTTGGGTGTAATATGGTCGTACATGGTCATTAATTAGCCCCCCGGGGCATGGG